TCCGAAATTGAGGGCCTCACAATATTCAGTGATCCCAGAAAGTTCGACATAGAATGTACCACCTACGAAAACTCGAGTTAGTAAGTAATAAAATTATAGGAACATTCATAAATATAACTGTAGTTGTATACCATTATTTCAAAGACATTAATCTAAGGTCATTCTCAATCTGAAATGGAAAACCATTTAAGGTGTAATATTAGTCATCCAGCACAAAAGTATTTTTCCTAAACCGAAAACTATAAAATTCTGTAATCAGAGTTATAATAATGTATAAGGCAGCTACACCTTTTAAAGGCTTGCGTGAATGCGAACGGAACAGCGAACTCAATTATTTTAGTAGTGAATTAATTTTTAAGATGTAATAAAACACTACTCGTACTTATTCAATAGTTGTCCATCACATTTAGTTTCAAAAATTAGTTTCCTATTAAACAGTTGGTGGTCATTCTGCAAAACTGAATTTGTTGAAGTAACAGAATTTAGTATGAATAAACAAGCCCACAGTCTATGTCCACATAAAGTAAATCTTTATCCAACTGTAAAGCACTTTGTTACAGTATCGTATACTTTCCTATGATTAATTAATAATAATCAGCTTTCAAGTATCATAAAAATATACTTCTCTAAATATTTTGTTCTTTTACATAGGTATAACTATCTCCGAATACACATAAAGGAAAAATTTTTAGCAATACCAAAAATGTATTCATTTGCTTTAGAAATCATTATCTACACCATAATAACGAGGGATATTCGCCACTCATTAATATCAGCATCAGACCACCTAATGGTTTATTTATTATCAAAAAACTCATTTTCTTTGTATTTATGTTTATTTGTTGCAAGCTGAGGTTCAGTTATTAAAATTTAATGTCGAATTTATTAGTGATGATGTTTCGTTTTATTTCAGCAATCTAAGCTTAAAATATTAGTTTCCTGTTAATTTGTTTTCGGGGGTGGACTAGAAAATATATATCTGCATTCAGATATTCTTCATAATAATTTTCAGCAAAGTGCATTTATCTTTTGTAACTAAGATAATTAATTGATATAAATCCAATCTACATAAAAATTAAGATGTAAGGTAATAAGACATCTCTAATATTCAGTTTATATACATACATCATTATGATTAACACAATAAAGCCACTAGTCTCAAGCTGGTAACTCAAATCTATCCAATCTCTGAATATCCATTATACAAGTAATGGATTAAATGAAAACGTTCCGTTCATATTAGACTAGCATAATTCCAATCACTGTATAAACGAGATTACATTATACAGCATACAACAGCTTGATTTCAGTATTGCAATCCATAGATTTTTGTAACCAATTTGTTGAATGGAGAGGAAAGTTTTGATGATTAGGTGTTCTTTTATTAAATCAAAAGAATATTAATGACCATGTTTCATTAAGCAATATTGAATGGAATGATCTAATCAATGAAAACAATATTTGTTGATGAATGAATAGAATTCCTTTATTCAAGTTATAGGAAATAAGTAAAGATGTATATATAAAACGTTGTATAGAAATTGTCAAGGACGAATTCTTAAGTTTATAGAAGCCTTGGCTATTCGTAAATTTAAGCCCCCTTTATGTGTACAAAAACAATTTGTCGTAACCTTGAATTTACCTTGGTAATCCTTGAGTCATTCTATGGCCTAGGATAATGCGACAATTTCTTATCCTTTCTCTCCCTTTGTTAATTTTGTTTGTACTTTAACTTTCATGTAATTGACCTTTATTAATTTTCATATAAAATGCCCTGACAAGTATATGTGTGACCAGATTGTTCGAAATGTATAGCGCAAATACATCACATTTTTCAGATCAACTCCGTCTTCTCATTGTTCTATCGAAAGATGTATATGTTTCATTGGAACTAATCAAACTAACAACTGGACAAAATCATATACACATTCATAACATGTGAAAGATTCACATGACGGTTTGAGAAGACATAACATAAAACCCAAGACTAACAGATAATTTAAATACTTTAAGTAGGAGAAAGGTAACGATGCTGGAAACACTTGAAGATTTTACTATAATTGATATCAATTTGCTTTTATGGGATTATCATTTTCGACAGATAGATGAAAAGTGTAACTACTCTACCACCATGAATTTGTAAATCTACTCGTCTTTCGATTTGATCAGTTTGGCTTTTGTAAAAATTAATTCTTGTCTTTGGTGTTGTTTGATATTCGTGTGTATGAATTGATGAAAACTAGAAGCTATGCAGTATATTCGTTTTAATTATTACGTGAAATAATCCTACCATTTGATTGTGAGAAGGGAAATCTCTTCTTTTCTTTGAGTGTTCACTTTTATTTACTTCAATCAATTCTCACACGAAACCGCTATTGGAATATTGTGGCAAAAAGACGACATTTAATAACAAATACACTCAAAAAATTGTACTGCCATTGATGGAAATTTAATAATGGGACAGTGCATAGTATATATGACTATTCATCTGAATGTGAACTAATAGTATGACAAAATTTAAGCCCCAAGGAGATCGATAAAAGTGAATGTAAAATTGTTTGAATAATCTCAGTAATTCAAAAGTAAACAATTCTAACGTTTTCTCAGGTAATCTGGTAAGAACTTCTTCAGGGAAATATAATCGATTTTAATATTATCAAGATATATATATATATGTAACGAAATCATACCTGAAGCTTATTCTATTATGGTTAATTCATTTATAATAAGTTTAAGACAACTGTAACCAGTCTAGTTTCGTCTGCTGTTGATTACAAATGTAAGTTTCCCAAATACTTAAACTATGTTACCCAACTGAAGAAAGCGAATATTACTTGTTAATATCTACCGAAAATTTATATCCTTTCACTTTTGAAGCTTTTTGATCCATATGCAATATTATTTCTACACGGTATAAATGTAGTTTATATATTTGGTCATTTCAAGAAAGGAGGGTAGCTGAGGCGTTCCATATAATGCTTAATCCTACTTCTCTCAACAGAAAGGAAGGCTTTACCATACATCCTACTTGGACCATCTATCCTAGCCATTCATTCTGATCGTATTTACAAATTCACACTATCATATTACAAATTTAATCTCTATCCTTTCTTACCATAAAGGTCACACAATTTTTCATTCTTAAACAATGCACACATACATACACACACAAATTTACATACATATCACTTATGAATCACCTTGACAAAAATGACATGACATCAACTTGTTCAGACCTGTTTTTGATTGATCAAATATTATTTTTGCATTGTTCCGTTGTACTATTTAAATTGATTATTTATTCTCTGAAGAAGTGACTTAGACTAAGTCACGAAACGTCAGAAAATCTAATTTTCTACTCATTGGGATATTACAAATATATTATTTATTTATTTCAAGTCAAAGTTTACATTTTATGGTTACAAGGGTACATTCAATGATCAGGAAAGAAAATATGTTGAATACTTTTACTATTCTCAAATAAACCTGACTTTTATTCGTTTTAATTATTTGATTGTGGTTGTCGATAAATAAAATCGTGATGTGTTTTTTGACTAAAATAACCTATGACAATGATCGCTGCACTCTCCACTTTTAAATTTTTAATGCGCTTCAATGGTTCTTAGTGCTAAATACAAAATCATTTTCACTTTAACGGTTGTGTTCTATTTCACCGTTAGAGGTGAAAATTTGTCTTATCTGATTGCGCTTTATGGAAATATTTAGACAATTATATTAATTATTTTAGTATCCAACCTACAACCTCGTCACGAAATAAAATTAAAATACTTATTCGTCCAAAAACTAAACTTATAGATTCATGAACCGTCAGAATCAGTATATCTATTTTACTATTAATTTTTAACTGAACCTAGTTGATCTCATTTTATATCATAGACAAATCAACAAACTATTAATTTGTGGCTTTATGGAAATTGTGGGATTTTCAGTTAAAATCATGAAGTGAACCCGCGTCGAAAATTGTTGATGTCCTGCTCCAATCACTTTACGATATTGCCTAACCCTCATCCATAGCCTGTGATGGATAACTGCCTTACACTCGTCACAGATTGAACTCTGCTGGTCATGGTTTATTACTAGAACTCCATAAGTTGGGCTTTCGAGATAGTCGCCAGTGAGTAGATGGTTATTATTAGTTGTATAGAGGAATTTATGATTAAGCGTTCGTGTGCGAAGCCAAATGTCCAGGGTTCGATACCTAGATGCGGGATGACCTCTGTTGAAGTGTTCCATACTGCGAAGAAACAACGGTCTAGTGCCCTCATGTTTTTAATGATAGTTTAGCTAAGATCAGTTCCTTATTTAAGTTTTGAAAATCAAAAATGATTATCTACTTATTAGTGTCATTGTTGATGTAGCTATGATTAGTATAAATCTCATTTTTATTGATTCAGAAAATATCCCTGAACTTCATCTGATTTTGATGATTACAAATTAAAACAAATGAAGTGGTTATAAACTAGCGGACTGCAGATTTGTATGCTGTCGTTAGTCGTGTCTTTCAAGGTCATGTTAACTTTTGTTCATGCAAGATCAATTCATATTCTCGTTAAAATGAAGCCTAAACCGAATATAATCTTCACTGTAATGACAGCGGTTATAAATTAACATAATTTATTTAAAAACAATAAGAGTAAGGAAAGAGGAAAAACCACTCATTTATTTGTCTTTTACACTGAACCACTATTTACATTGAAAGCGTACAACTGACTTTGTGAAAAAAAGCTGTAATAACTAAGTATTATTACTTATAAACTTGTACAATAGTATTCTGCTTATCTATAAAATAAAGTGAACCGAAATTTCAACGGTACATTTTAGTTAATAATTATATCTCTGCGAATAAGTTGATGATTAGAATGGAATAAATCTTTTATTTATTTGAGCTTTTTCCACCTGTAATTCATTGATTTACTGTCTTTTATGATTAATAGATTTGACGTTTTGATTAACACAGTAAACAATACACATGAGATATATCATAACGTCTTGTTTAAATCTGGACAATGATGCTTATACAGATTTCGAAATTTCAATAATATAGCTACGAATCCCACATAAACCAAAGTGTATAACATTGCGTTTTCACTCCATTGTGAAAAATCATTCCATATTATTTCTGAAATGGATGCATTTTGTGTACAAGTTAAATTTGGTTCACATAATCGTACCTGAGGTTAAGTAAAATGTAAACATATATAAATAATTGTCAAGAAACACCAGAAATAAGTTTTGTGTTAGTTACCATTAATTGCACAGGTAGGCGTTTTCTACATATTACATGTATAATTGACTTATCGTTATGTTCTAATAGCTCGACAGAGAATAATCATATACAAAAGAATATATTTTAAGAATTCTAGTGAACTACCTGTTCCGATTCACCCACGCAATCATCTTCATTTTCAGATAAACATAAACGTATCCTTGTACTCTGTCCAGTAGATCCAGAATCCTGTTCACAAAATGTCCACTCTGACCAATCTGACCAAATACTTCTAGGTATATCGCATTTTTCGCCTCTATATCCTTCCTCGCAATCACAGACACTGTAAGTAAGATCCTTCAAAAAATATCAACTCATTACTGAATTAAATAATCAAATTACGATCGGAACACAATGAAAGATATGTAACTTCAGACAATTTTATTTCATAATAATAAATTGAACTCCTTTTGCCAGTTGGTAAAGTTTAACAATTCTATTGTCAAAATAAACTTGTCTTCAACCGATTAAATTATGAGCTACCCAAAAAAGAAGAAACGATATATTCAGTTGGTTGGTTTTAATGTGATATATTCTGTAATGACTGCAAACAAGAATAATATCCCAGTGGTATTGTAGTGTCTGCTACTGATGTCGACGGATATAAGTAGTATGTATCATCAATCGAAAGTGAAATGCCTGGAGGCAGAGGTTTAAGAAGATCATAGAAAAGGGAACGAGAACAAAAAATGATTGGTGTGATAACGAAAGAACAATGAAGTCTGAGACGAGTGATTGACATTTTGCAAATGAAGTATTTACTGTATAGTTCTCAGATTTTACTATGATGTTCTATTATTTTGTAATCAAGTACATTCGATTGTCCCCACTTGTGTTCTCGTTCACTACAGTATCAGTTGAATTATATCTCGGTTATTCCGAGCGGTACGACTATTTACTGTGACTGTAGAATAATGGCTACCTTTTACTTGTTGCAACGGAACGAAACTGTTATGTCGATGCAAAGAAGTAAACATAATGTTGATGAAGACTGCTTTTTCAGTAACCACTAAGTGAACGAAACCCACAATAATAATTTTAATTGTACATAACTTTAAATGTTTAGTCAATAAATAAAACCGGATGAATCGAAGTAGGAGTTAATAAATAATTTTATTTGTGTATATAATTCGCAAAATAAACTAAGTAACTGACTGACTTGGGAAATATACTTCATTCCTGAACTTTATATTTGTTTCCTTTTGAAAACAGACCTATTGATCCAACTAGTTTTATACGTGTAGTTTTATGTAAAACTGCAACTAAGCTTCAAGGAATCAGTGTCAATGAATTTATTATAAATCCCTATCTGTTTACTAACAAATCAAATACAATTACTAAGATTTAATAAAATACGGTTTAACTATTTATGTAAGATGGGAATCTGAGAGTCCGTTTATTGGTAAACAAAGTCAGAAACTTAATGAACGTGAATACTTTTTACAAACTTATTGATAAAAATGTGAAATAGTCTAAATTGCTAGAGGCAAAATGTTGAATAATAACCCATCTGGGTCATAGACAATGTCGGCACAGTGAGAAGAAACACATATTTCCGTGACCTTATTTATAGTATTTATCAGGTATATGCTATTTGGTAACACATAATCAGAGCATAGTGGTTGAATATTTTGCGTATAATTGAAAATTTTGTGTACGTCGTTTATATTGAGCTTTAAGGAAGGAGTTATTTACTCTAAATATCTACTTCACAGAGATTTAGAGATGAACCAATTCTACCATCTTATTGTGCATATATTTTGACCAGGATTCATGTAAGCAATTTTTAAATTAATCGACCTGTCATGCAGTTTACGTAGAATTTAAGATAAATTATCACTTCGATCCCTCTTCTAAATAACTAAAGTAGCTATAAACACTGTTTTTTAATGAATTAGTATTGGGAATCAATTCAAACATGCTCAAGAATGAGATAGAATATCGTCCATATTCTTATCAGTGTTCATTTTTAAAAATTCCTTTCAAATTTTACAGTAAACGTGGTTGGACACTTTAAATCTATTCAACTGAGACTAATCATATTATCGGGATATTAGTCGGTGTATTTTATTTATTCGGTAAATAAACAAGATGATTTTGAAAGTAAAATCCCTTTAATAATGATCTGTTCCCAAAATCAATATTCTCATATCCATATTCCATATATGGAAACATTTATTTACAAGTTTATTAGGTTCTCTAGAAATACCGTTTCAAAATTATAATTAGTTAACTGATTTTAGATCGAACAATGAACCATGAGATATCATGAACAAAAGTTTTTCGTCTGAATAATAACGATTATGGTTTTTTCAACACATAGTACTCTGTCATTAGATATTGCACTGAGTTATGTTTTTCTCCCAAAAAACATAAACTAAACAACACAAAATTACAGTAAACTTTGATAATCATATTTTCGATTTCTTTCATGAAAAAGCTTTGGTTTTTTACATTTGAGCCATAAGTTATATATTCTACAACAGCATATGATCCAGTTGGGATTAAATAATCTATCTTAAGAATGATCCATCTTGCAGTGAAAGTGATAACACAAATCTGAAGCACTTGTATTAATCAATATTATCTTGAATATTAAGTCATAAAACTAGTTAATTAAGCTTGTAATCAGTATAAAGTGATCTTTTGCCAATAATGAACCGATATAAGTGCTTATTGATTACTATATAATGGGTTTAAACTGGTAACCGTGGTTACCAAATATATTTACTACTCTGAACAACGTTGGCTATTTGAATATAAATTAAAATTCAAAGCATTACTAAATCAAGTTAACTTTTTCAGCAAAAAGGATGGAACTACTTAAAAAACGACTCGAGTAGTTGAAAATATTCTTAGAATGATTCTTCACCAAATATTTTCACGTGTCAAGTTGTACGTTTTATAGAATTTCATTACCACAGAATATGAGATAAGATTACTAAAATCTAATCACCAATTATTCCAAAGTATTTTAATTACTGTTATCTGCGTTTCTGTAGAACGAGGTCAATATTTTCACTAATTTTTGGATTGATTATTAGATTTAATGTAGTGGCTGTGCTTCGTTAACCAATCACCCTTGTAACCATTATCATATAAACCTCAACGGTGTTTGAAATCAGAAGGCAAAAAGAGGCAGCGACTACAGTTTTATTAGCAGATAACTCAAAACAAAAGCAGAGAGGCTAATGAGTGAGTCAGCGAACCGAGAGTGTAGTGATATATATATATATATATATATATATATATATATATATATATATATATATATATATATATATATATATATATATATAAAGGTACAATAAGTTGTTATAGTACGGAAGACTGTCCGCTAAATAAGTTAACAAAAGGGCTTAAATGAATTAAATGAGAACAAACTCAAATGCACGTGAGTTGCTATATTAACTTATTATGTTCACTTTTATATTTAGTTTAAAATGCTTTGGAAATGTATACAGCATTTCTTGCCGTTTTAGTTAGAAAATGGTCACAGTAACACTTGTCCCACTGTTGGCTTCAATTAGCTTCTTAAATTATCTGGACCGTGTATTTTGATCAAGAGGTAATTAAGTTGAAACCGACTGCTCATTCTTTCTAATATACTGAAAAAGGTAAACAAATTGGATGAGTTGTATACTAATCAAATTTTAAGCAAATACAATTAATAATAATCCAAGAAATCATGATTTTCGTGGTGCTCCATTCCCTGAGCTGGATAATTTAGTTGTGAAGCCTCAGATAGAAGCTAGATAGTCGAATCTCCCCACATATTATGGATGTGGTCTTGATTGGGTGTCATTGAACCTGTCCGTATACGTATTTCGAATGTCTTCCACCTTTCACCTGATTCTTGTTTTCATATTCCTTCAGGATGTTTCTAATTAGTCGGTGTTTCGCACTGATTTAGATGTGCTTATTGATTACTGACTGACCTGAGTGACAATTTTACAAACATCCTCTAATTTTCTTTGTATTCCTTCTATCCGAATTCTCAGCATTTTCCCAGTCAAACGTTTGTGCATCATTGTCAACGTGCATTGAAATAACGGGGACACACCATAGCGCTTTCCAATCAGTTGGTGTTCATTTAGACGAAAATGAAGAGTGTAACCACTTCGTTCGATGTAATGTTTCTTTCAGTTGAAACAGTTCATTTCATAGATGTTGTTTGGCTTTTTTTCTTTCATCATTCTTTTATCCTTCGATTCGTACCAGATTAATTGAGATGATTTTGCTGGTTTGTGGGCTATGCCTATTCTAAACAGCCTCAGTAATGTCACTGTGGTTTTTTATTTGTCCTTTATACACAGTAAAATGATCCGTTTGTTGATCTCCATATTTGATTTCATTATTCTTATATTTCTGATGTCGATGAAAATCTTCAAAAGTGAAAACTACAAAATGCTTATAATTAGTGATTAGTTGTGTTAATTGATGCTGATTACAGTTCTTACTAGTGAATCAGGTGAAATCACTCTTTAACTTAATCAATATAGAGGGACCATTTTTAGTTTGTTTTTATTTCTATTATCATCTGTACAAATCATTTATTTAAGTTGTTGATTTTGTGACAGTCTTGTTTGATAGGGTGAAAAACTAAAATAATAAATCAACTTGTGGTTTTTTTTTAAATGATTCAGCGAATTTTTTTTTTTACCCTGATAGAATCGTGACACTAGTATTGAGATATATCAGATTGTGTTATGTGGTCACAGTTTGAAAAAGCAACATCCTAATAATGATTATAAGTATTGTAGAATCATTGGAAGAATAGATACAGATTTAAATAATTACCTTTTTCTGATAAATATAAGAAATGATATGAAAATTAAATCTCATCTCAAATTACCGTTTTTGAAGTTAGTTTTATCTTAAATGATTTCATTGATAAATGAGGCATTGAATTATAATGTTCCATATCTTTAGGTAGACAGCTACAACTCAATAACCAATGGAAGTGAACTATAAGATAAGAACTTTTGTTATTCATTTATAGAAGTCTGTCATTGAGAGGCGTCCAATACAGTATATTCGCCTACTAAAAAAATTTGCTCAAACACTAGCAGTTTGTTTCCTATGTAGAATTATCATTTAAATTGACTACACTAAATGATTTCCGTTGAAGCTGTTCGAATTTACAAATTTTCACTTAGTTTTATTATATGGATGCTTTTAGAGACATTGCTTTCTTCCTTTTGATTCACTAAGAATTGATCTCATGTCTGAAGCTCTAAATTACATGGATGACATAGTTCTATTTAGTAGACGCTGAAAATCTTCATTCTTACAAGTGACGACATAAGTTCATTTCTCACCCATCAAGTACTTGTATGAATCAATATCTAATCCATTCATTAGAGAGTGGATTAATCATATGCATTGAAGAATTAGCTTGGAAGCCTCGACCCTAATGGATTGATAACTGATGAGATCATTGTGTAAATACAAACACTCCGGAAAGTTGTTACGTTTACATTCCTTGTGGCGCAAAATAGAAATCATTCTACCTAACACGAGGCTAGTATATTGTGTAACAGTTTACTTTGTACTGTTTTAAGACTAGCTTATGATCATGGATCTTTTTGAAGTACTGCTCACATACTGGTGGAAGCCCCAAGTAAGTAGTTTTGAAGTTAAACATAAGGTATAGGTAAAATATGTAAAATTGATTAGTAAGGCTTCGAAAATTTCATCGACTGAGTTGGCTAAGACACCTATATCATGAAAAATCTTTAGTTCATCCTAATGACAGTCAGGATAGCTTGAAAGAAGACTCTGAGTTTCCAGACTACTCATATGAAGTCTGACTGTTAATGTGAGCTATATGGGGTGATTAAACTATACCACTATCTAGGTCGTTTGAGCAGAAAACTTTGGAATCACATAAGTAGCCAGTTAATATGAAAGAATATACAAGCGTAAAGAGATTTTTACCGATCATATGCTCATTTAGAAAATAAACTGAGTGATTTGTGAGGAAAACATACATGACATTATTTGTTCAAGTTATCACAACTCATCTCAGTACAGAAAGAAAAAATTAACAGAATTGTAAATACATTATTAAATAGGTAGGGAATTAAGGAAGAAAAATTTCGCACTGATGGGTCACTGAGTAACAGCCAACTTAATGCATGATTATTACTTAATGTTGAAAAATTATATCGACCAGTATGGAGAACGGCCACTAGTTTAATTGACTCTACGTTTAGTGCAATATTTTTGATACTAAGTGAATGGAAGTTATTGACACCAAGCCTTATACCTATATTGACACTACATAGCACAGGGTATCTGTAATCTTCATGGAACTGATGGTGCTCATGAGATCTGAATAAGCTTCACTAATTGTCAGTAGTATGTCATCACCATCTGAACTGCTACTGACCCCCCAATAGAAACAAGGTACTCGCATATACTCATCACGAAGTACCAATCAATATCGTGTTTTTTAGTACGTCATACTGATATAATTCCAACACGGATTCTCTGGAAGCGTAAGTCCAATTAAAATTAAATATACATCTTGTTGGCGAATGTCAGCTAACACTAAAATTATACTAACGGCTTCTCATCGACTGCCTCCAGCTACCACATATTGAAACAAAAATTTTCATTATATTCAAGACTAAATAAACGATTGTAGTTGCAGCCAATTTTGAGTTTACTTACCAGTGGCTTTCAGTCACTGATTTCTAAATGTAATCATATGTTCAACTTGTAAGAAACGGAATTGTAGATAAAATTTCAATAAACTCAATTAACAAATAAATGATAAACCTTACTTTTGAACTTATACATTCACCATGCAAACATAAATGTGTATCACATCCATCTTTTTGTTTCAAACAATTATCATATGGTAAAGACAAATCTCTTGTATATCCTATACTGCACGTACAATTGTAAGTTAACATATCATTCATTGAATTGCATTTATTAGTTGGATTTAACAGAACTCCACATGCTTCATATCCTGATGGTATATATGGACTAGCGTCTAACGGATTCATTTTCAAAGTTGTATCAAATATGCAAGCGTCGAATGGTTGATTACAATCATATCCGGTGTAACCAGTTTTACAAATACATATAGCTACACCTAATTATAAATTGAAATAAATTATATATATATATATATATATATATATATATATATATATATATATATATATATATATATTCCACTACGTTACAGAACTAAACAATGGAAAGTAAAAGAAATTTACGAAGACCAGAATACTATGAAATAAATTGACCTGTGACGAATACAACTAGTTTTGTGACATAGCAAATAATATGTATTATCATTGGTTTCTTTGATCACATGAATAAGTGCATGTTACAGGCTTGAACCGCTTGGTACAGCAGTCTACAACAGTTCCTTTTTCTTATCCAGTTACTCTAAGACTTTCTCCATTCTATGCCGCCAACAGCAAATAATGTTAATGAACTGATCTAAGGTCATTAAAAGCTTAGATTGTTTTCATATCTCAATGAAATTCAACAACCTCCGAAACCCCATACTGATAACTAATGTATTATATAAATGCAGATGATGGCCAGATGCATACGACTTATATTCTATCTAATTCAGTGGATAATAGTTAAAACATTATTGATTTACTTGCCATGAAGGTCACTTATTATAGTGATTAAGATCATGGACCGATAAATTTTAGACCACCATTAAAAGCCGGGAAACATGTTGGAGCCATTTTATCCTAGTGGTCTAGAAGTTAAGCGTTTGCACGAAACTGAAGGTCATGGGTTCAAGTCCTACATGAGGGATCGTGAATGCGCACTATGGAGGAGTCCCTTAATGAAACTACACGGCCCTCTTGTTCTTTCAGGATTTCAATGATGGTCTAACATCGATCGGTTCATGATCTTAATAAAAACTCAACAACCTCCACAAGCCTATGTTGATAACTTATTATATCTTACACGGTATATGGTTTGAACACAATTTACTGTCAATGATCATGTCACTTTGATATGACTGTTGGTAATTGATTCTGTTCATAGAATAATTCCATAAAGGAATATTCTTTGAAGATGGATTTAACCAAGACCAACGTCAGTTGCAGAAACACTGATAGCCAAAAATTGTTTCACAAGTATTTTATCCATGTTTTGAGATACTTACTAGTGTTCATTCAATACTTATACATCCCAGATTTATTCTTATGTAGGGTCATGAATGAAAACTGTGGAGTGATTTAAGACTAAAAGGAAAGTCTTTTGATATTTTCTAGTAATCATGGGTTTACAAAATGAAGTTAGCTAGTGAGGGAAATTCTCAACACATACAGTAATCTGCACAAAAGCCAGCAAAATAATAAACGATACTATTCTATAAGATAATACTAACCAATATAAGGTTTTAATATGCCACAGGTATGGTATGAAGCTTTTCCTCGTCTTCTCTCCAAAAATCCCAGGTTTAATGTTAACACTGGCCATTTGTTCCTTTACAACTCACATTTCATACTTTACATGTACTTTCTATTAAAGTGGTATGACCATACAATGTTCATTTATAACACCTATGTCGCATAGCTGTGTAACAGAAACCAACAAATCGGTTCACGAAGTAACACTTACTGAATGATGAAATTTATATTCTTTATCGTACTGTAAATGGAATGACTGAATGAATGCTCATAATAAATATTTCTGTTTCAATTTATAGCTTCCTTCAATAATTGTTAAGTCATAAAAAGTAGTAAAAATGAAGAAGGATTATATGGGAAAGTGACAATACAAGTAGGAGTTTAGTAAATAATTTCCTAAAATTATTACTTCATTTGAATTATTGATGCTTCACACATTTATAAAAACAAAAGATTATTCGATCATTTTATTGAGTTCTTTAAATCCTTTTTCATGTATTTATATTAGAGCAGATTAAATAGTTTAAGTACACTTTTTTTCCACTTGAAAGATAAAGTTGTGTAGAAAATATTTGGTCATTAGACATTTTATAATTGAATTTTCTTTATAAATTACTATTGTTGAATATGTAAACTTTTAATCAGTGAAATGAAATTTTTAACCCTGCTCCACTTGTTTAAGTTTAAAACAATTATAATATTAGTAACCATAATGAAACTATAAGATAACTATACACTTATATGAAATGTGTAGAATAGATTCATCTTGTCCTTAGGTTAATAAAGTTTAAATTATATTCATATTGTTTGTGATTGTCCAATCAAAAAGATATTGATTATGGTTACATATTTCACAACAAATTATAACCCTAATTCACTAAAAATCCATAAACACAGATACATATAATCCTTTCTCATCATAAAAATTTATTAACAGTGATCAAAATAAAGTGAGATTTCTTCAAAAATCTTTCTGTTTTACCTGTTGTTTGATTAAAAAAACAAGATTCAGTTGTCTCATGATTACAAAACAACTTGCATGTATCAATTATGGTACACGATAATAAGTCCTTTTCCCATTTGTATCCCTTAAATTAAAGAAAAATAAATATTGAAAATAGCTAAATAAATATATTTTTAAGCTGAAACTTGGCATAGATTAAAAGAACTAAAATTAAATTTCAACTCAGTTATCAAAAAACATTGTGGTTATTGTAAGACCCGGGAGATATTAGTTAAATCCTGTGTAAGCTATTGTATGTTAATTATTAAGGGTTCTTAATGGTTATGCTAACGATATTAGTTCAAGATGAGAAGTGCCTTTGAATTGTACAAACTTTTCACACAGATGCATTAAGAAATATATAAAAAAACCGATCAACTAGAGTGAGAATTTTTTCCTGAATCAACAGTAAAAAAATATAGAACATAAATTCTGTTTAACTAACAGTTTTATTTACTTTTCTTCACAAAATTCCCAAATTTTTGCAGTATTAAAAGGTGAAAAAATATAATTGAACAGGAAGATTATTCATAGAGGAGATTACTGAGGAAAATTAAATTTCCATGTCTACTATTTAAATCAAAAATGTGTTAAGTAGTTTCATTTGTTAGACAATAACACCTTCATCGGCAGTTGATAAAAATCTAATGCCATCTTACTAGTAATTGTATATCCTTTATCATCAACTTTATCACCTAACGAATTACCTCTCGTCCTGCAGCTATATATTCTGTCTTCTTTTGTGTAAATGAATGTTAACTTCACGCAATAATAAGTTAATAGTCTATTATAAAGCTTTTTGATATCCATTTAAACTGAATTCGCAAACAGAATCATCTGACGACTTCTACATGTTAATGTACGCAAGTCGACAGGGAGAACTTCATAACCATAAAGAATTCATTATCTAATTACGATACTTAACACATTTCACAGACAAATAAAATGCACAATGACTAGATAGATTTCTTTATTTTTAAGATCGTATTTTCAAACGTGACCTAAACGACTTGATTCTTAATTTTCACCACCATGGGTTCTCCGTTACCGTTTAGGGTAAATCAGAAATGTTTCCACACCCCAAAAATTCACTACAATAACATTTTTAGTTTATTTGTGAAAGTTTTTGAGCTGATGTTTCTTGAAATAGGTGGTTAAACGCTGTGTCTTTAGACTATCAGTGTTGGTATAGATAATGAAAGCTATTAAGGATTTAATAACTTAAATAAAATCTGATCTTATTTTCAGTGAACTACTTTACTTTATCAGGTTAATCAGAATGCAAATATTAATCTGAAATCTATCAACATGCTACCCTGATAAGTTAATATAATTATGTTAAATGGTAAATTTAAGAGTACGAGATCTTGCTCTGAATAACAAAAAACAAAATCCACGAAATATGTATCATCGTTCAATTCATTGATATAAGTTTAATATATATTGTTTAACTAAAACTAACAACGTACTATAGACAGTAATTCATATTAAGAAATACAAGTGTAAATTGCTTTCAAAATTTATTAAAAAACCAGAATAGTTTGTGCGTTCAGAAAAAGGAATAACTTAGTAAACTAATCACCATGTCTCCAATGGCTAACTAAGTAAGATTGACCCCAGAATTCTGTAGCATACATCCATACGACACCTGAACATATCTTGAGAATAATAAATCTATAAAGCCCGGACATATTTCAGACTCAAAAGAGGTTTTGCCTGTCTGATCTTCATTGCGCAATACATTATCAAGCTCAGGTACACTTCGCGATGTTAAGCGTTGGGCATCCATGATGTGTGGGCTAACAATTACTGTCCTAAATAAATATTCTTTATTTCATAGCATTATGTCTTAATCTAAATACCCCTTTCTTTCTCTACCAAAATGTTTTTGGTAAGAATATAGCTGAGATCGCATACTTGCGTCAGCTTTGTTGAACATCTTAGCAAAGCAGTAAGCAATCTTGGCAAGCTGATTAATGCGGATAAGCTATCGAGTGCCCGAGAAAACGCATTGTTTATGAATAAGTAACCTCTCGAAAACCCAGAATCATGGAAGTGAGACCAGTGACTGTCTGAATTTTTGGTGTGCTAATAATGTTGAGATAATTTAGTTTTTGAAGCCTGCCTGTTTTATGGTTTAAACCAACTCACAAAGTTTAAAGACTGAGGGTTTAAATGATGCATGCAGTTTGAACGTAGTTGGATTATTTGTTACATTTGACAACAGTCATATATATATATATATATATATATATATTACATATCAAACTAAATGCCATGTATAACAAAATGCCTTTTTAAACATACTGATTCACATAAACATTCATAATCATCTTTATGATAGCCACGACGTTTACAAGAACCACCAACTGCATTTTGAATATAATGACAAGGTCTTCGCTTACATGGATTTGGACATACCTGTTTTAATTTGAAATACTGGATGTTAATTTAAATGTCATTATGTAATTATTACGTAACGTATCCACTCAATGAGTATTATATCATTATTGTATATATATATATATATATATATATATATATATATATATATATATATATATGCCATGATAAAAAACTAATTGAAAAGAAATTTCTTCGCTCAATTCGTTCCTTCTGTATTTATCAAATGTCCAAATGAGAATTTGAAATTTGTTTTCATAAAGCTATAAGTAAGATTATGAACTGTTTTAATTATTGTGTATTTGAAATATTTCATTAATATTTGTTTTCGCATGTTAGCGGTTGGGTTCAATGAAGCCTTCCAGAAATTCTTATTTTTCAGATAAGGATTTTTTTCCGCCATTGGAATGGTCTCATTCTGACAAGCATCACTTTTAATAAAAAATTAGCGCAGCTAAATTTTCCTGATTTTCAAATCTAAACACGTTTCAAAGTAAGAAGGATTATTATTATCATCAATATCAACTGATCTTAAATTTAATCATCAATTAACGATACATATTTCTAATATATCAAAGAGCGGAAATCTAAATTTCTGATATTCCGTGACTTAGGGTAAATAAATAAACAACCGAATTAAATTTATATAAGTTTAAATAATACAAAGGAAACAAAGCAGAATATTTTTAGTACAGTCAAAATTAAAATAGGTCCGATCATGTCAACGTCATGTTGTTTTTTGGTCAAGACGATTCTGTGCGAGACATCACCGTGTGTATTTGCATGAAAAGTATTGGGTATGGAAAGTGGTGTAGTTAGAATTTGAGTTGAGTTTATGTGTGTTGTGTGAGAAACAAAACAGAATGAAGTGTAGATGTTTGGATAAACAAACCAAGTTTGATGAATAGTCAGGCCTTTTTTATTAAGGGTAGGGCGATTTAACATCATATGAAACCATCAAACCACTCATTTAGTTCAGATATGTAGTTGAATCATCTGTCATTAAAAAAGAATCGCCTTAGAAATTTCTCTAAACTGATAAACACTTTCTCAGTCCATATCAAATTCACTTTCAAAAGAGATGAACATTGTGAACTGACATTCTTGGTCTGTTTAGTTAAAAGGAATTCTAATGGAATTCCACATCATATTAAATCACAACTTAAAGGTTTGAATAATCTGGTATTATTCCATCACTTGACTAACGACGAGAGGTTTATCCATGAAAACACCAGTTCAGAGAATAACAGAACTACAGAAAAAAGGGAAACTTACGAAAACTCACTTCTAAGTCAGGAATAGCTTCCTTTGCCTCACCATAAAGATGACATATAGTATATATGTATATTAAACTCATTTGATCTATTGTCCTTAAACGATAACACCCACCACGTATAATTGGTGTAATGAAGTGTTTACTTGATGATCTCTCAAACTCTTCCCCAAATATTTGTTTCAGCAAGTGTGGATTATGAGAAGTAGGTTGCATCAAAGCTAAAAAATAAGCCCATGAACATCTTGGATGTTTGGTTTCATCACATAATGTGACTATGTGAGGCCAATTCACATCAGCTAAGTACATATTTTCATTATGCGGAAACATATCTGAGTTAAAATAAAATGTCCAAATATACAGAAAAATAAAAACTTGATTGAACCAACTTATTTAACTTACAGTTGAATAGTCTGGTGAAAATAAGTTGGAATTAATTAAAATCAAACAGAAGATTGAGATAGTTAAATATTTTTTTGTGATTGTGAATATTAAGGTCTTGATATTGGTATGCATTAGACTAAGTTTGATGATAGCATATGCCTCAGCGATTTATCTTATTGTGGATTGTTTCTATTTCGTTGAATATCTTTCCTTAAATTCTTTAAATTCTTAACACAGAAAAATTTGCTTCGTTTATAATGATATTCAATTCTTGTAAAGTCAGATTAGGTGTAACATTAACTTTTGTAAAAGTATTTGATTCATGAATAAACAATAGTGGTATGATTACACCTCAATCAGAATGAGCCTAAAATATTAGGTCAAACTCGACACAACTCAAGTTATAATAGTTACAGAAGTCATTAATACTTGTCTAAGCGACTTTTGTCTTCACCAAAGATTAGGTCATGGATTGTGCTGTTTTTTTAGATAAGATTTATGCGAAAGTCCCCTTGATACAATTGCTCATAAACGAATATATTATTCACACAAATTCTACGTACGAAGATACATAGACTTATTATACCTTTGTATCAGCTAGTTCTGTTTTAAGATCTATCTTTCTTCAAGACTGCCATTGATCAGTCTCTCTTGACATTTGTACATCCTGTGCGGAATGTCTCAATATTCCCATTAAGTCATAACCAAATTTAAGCTAAACGGACAACAAGATGGCGTTTGAAGAGAACGGTACTAGGCTGGAATCCAGGAGTGATCATCAAATTCTGGGATGCAGGTGCATCTAGATGACGAGTCTCAAATAAGACGAAAGGAGCGGTCTGGTTTTTACTGCTAGCCACCATTCATATCTGCTTAAAAGAAGAAAATTCATTCAGTGTGCCCTGATAGTTATTTCAATGGCATCATCTAGTGATAAAATCCATGTTCAAACAACGATTTGATCATGTAGTTCTGAGCCCTATATGATTACAAATTTTAGAACCAACTGAATTTTAAATGAGTACAAAGGAAATTTAGTAGGTAATTGTAGAACTTAAAGCCACTCATATCAGTAGTGAAAGGTTTGCTCAATGATGACATGAAATAATCATTGTTCTAGATCTTGCTTTATGTATTAATATGGAGACGATACTGTGAGCTTTTACTTCATCTTCTTTATTAGTCTACGTTTCACATTATATTTGTATTTACATATAACTTATGCACAATGAGCATGGAAAGATCTAAAGATTGATTGAGAAAGGCATTATTGTCGTTTGTTGTCATATGAAATTATCTAAGGGAATTAAATTTATTTCTCTGCTAATGGACCCTAGTTGGGTCCATGTTTGAGGTCGATGAGGAATTATGAAATATAGTTCCTTAATTAACTTCGTATATTCATCAGCTTAACCACGCTAGTATGTAACGGAATAGAATAAGTCAAGCAGAAGCGTTTCGGAAACATATTTCATTCATTTGTTAATGCAGACGAACTATAAAAGAAGAGAATATCAGAGAAGACAAAATCTTACTACTTAAAATACTACTCATTACAAGCATTAATAAAATCGGATATAGCAAATAAATAATGTGAGCAAGTAGAGAATGATAGGTGTATGGACAAACACAAGCACACAAGAATAAAATTGACAAGGAAATGAGTAAAAGAGGTATGCCCCGCTACACCATTGCAACAGCGATAAAGCATTATCGCTTTATCATTTTTCAAATTGTACTAACTAGTTTGATCATACTTATAAGGTTTCTATCGATTAAATTGATATAATTTAAATTCAGTGGTAATGAATGATGAATAATATTTAACATAAGCCACATATTTCCTAACTACATTTAAATGAATTAACCCGACAATTATTTTTCGTGACAAGCTAATACAAATATGAATGGCAACTGAACATTGCGAAGCTGAAAGATTTAACGGCGGACAAAGAGTAGATATATATTTTGAATATCACTCAGTAGCTTATATACTAAAGTGCCAAATATGGAGTTTGAAGTTGTTATAGAATAAATAGATGATTTGTGGCTGGCATTACGATTGAGAACACCTGCTTCGTCTTGTTTGGGAGTCTGAAATCAAAATGAATCCTCGATCTTTGAATCGCTATTGAGTCAATCTAAAAACAGTTCAATGTCAAAAATTACGAAACCCCATGGTCCACACACTACATACCTTCATAAGTATCCCAACTCCAGTAATGATACCATATAGTAGTGGGTATAATAGAAGACCCATAGATACCAGGTGGGAAACCATTTTCATATTCTCTGTATTGTGGATTATGCATCTGTTGAAATGTTCGAAATCCAATAGTCTCTTGTATTGAATATCCCTTCACATCTTGTTCAGTGATAAAATCATAAACTCTTTCTGATTTGTTGGCGGAAGTAATCACAAGTAAAAGTACACTGACAGGACATATAATTTTATCCATCAATTCACACATTAGTCGTAAATTCAATTCACACATGTTAGCTTTCACTGGAAGTCTGTTAAATCAATATTATTAATTTGAAAGCCATTGACATTGTATTTAAACAGATCGTTAATCTCTTTCTGTTTAAACAGATAAATTGCGACTAATAATTGAAAGTCAGTTCCCAATAAGGAATATGATTAAATGAGTAAATAGGCAATATGTAATTAACTTGTAATATGAACAACTGTTTATAGATTTACACAACTAAATATAAACCGGTTCATGTTCGGCGACCAATTAGCATAGTTCACAAAGAACTTAAGTTTCCTATCACCATCTTTAGGGAATGTAGTCCCGAGGAAATTCTAATGACTGTTACAATTACTACGCAATCTAATAATCTGTTGTTTTTTTTTACTGTTCCGATTACTTAGTTCGTACAGTCGTATTTATAGCTAGTTTTTACAAATAGCAGCTCACAACAAAGCAAAGGCGAGTCCCGCAAGGTTATCAAGATCACGAAAACTATCGAAAAGTGCTAAGCAACAACCTAGTCACTGGTGGAAAAATTATAAAATGAAGGGAGTTTATAAAAGAGAAATAAGTGTTTACTTAGTGATTATGAAAAACAGAACATCCCTCCACTATATTATGAAATACATGTAGAAACCAGCAACAAATATGACAAAACAGGCTACGTAAACATGGTTCGAAAGAAAATGGTCTTCGCCGATTTCTTTTCAAATTTTAGTAGTATGATGTTCCTTTAATTTTAAATTTTATTAGTCTTGCCTTCAAGGCATATTCAAAACAACCACGCTAGCTAACCAAACAAGTAACACATTTATGCAAGTTGAAGGGATGTCGTTGACAAATACCTAAATCAATCACTAAACTTGAAGACAGAAATAACCAACACCAAAACATGAGATCCACTGACTGAAATGTTATTCAACTATCGGTACTCGGCTTCTTGATAGTATTACGAAACCATAACTTAACCCAATCAAATTTACAATAGGGGATCTTGGTATTCTGTTTTCAAAAATGTGAGAACCGATTGACATTAAAACTACTCTCATCTTATTCCACGAAACCAATAAAATATATGCGTAGTACTCGAATGTTTCATGCTTAAATATGTCACAGGAATACCTGGTGACTACCGAACCATAGATCATCAAGCATGACCTTTCGTCAGCTCCTATCGTCACCGAGTTTTAGTTCGGCTATTGTCTTACGCTTATTGCATTTTATATATCAAAATTACAGCTAGAACTACTTTTTCTGCTTATTTGATTACTTTCGTTGTCTCATCGGTCTGTATTGAATAAACAATTATATGCTCGCTAAACTGAAAAATTCCCCGTTAACGTTTGATCGGACTTAAATTACTAGATGACGCGAATGTAACGGAATACATCTCGTAGTAATACTCACTGAAACACAACTACAATATAAGCATTTCCCCAATTTAAACATAAATACACACCTACAGAAAACGAATGTTTCGTTACTTAGCCAATCCACGAGAAATCTAGGTTTTTCAGCTGCAAGATCGTTACCATGGAAAGAATGTACTATTCAGAGTCCACTGCCCCAGTATTATTAAGATCGACTCCCAGCTCATTTCAGTCCAAACGCTTGAACGGATTCCCTAAGTGTTTTGTCTAGCAGATGTATACAAATCATATTACTAACTTATACTAGCTGAAAAACCCACTTTTCATAACCTAACCACCAATGGATAAAGAACAAGCCGCTAATAAACATAATGTCAGTTTTGCGGCTCTTTCTATATTATATTCATTTCCGTGTTGTCCATTTAGCGTCATCAAGAATGATGTCAACTCAGCATTAACAGTAAATTTATCGGCATTGAGTGACCTAGAATTTATGGAAAATTCTTGTTGATAATCACCAAAAATGGTTTCCCAAGCGTAGTTCGATTTTAAAATCCTTAAGTCTGGACGCAATATGAATGTATAAAAGCGAGTCTCAACGGATTTCTTAACCACCCAATAATCGCTTTATGTGCATCATATTCAGAAGTGTCTAAATCTCGTCGACTGAAGTCATGGTAGAATTATTGCTTGGAATGTGTCGCTTGGTTGAGAACGTATAGTATGTAATTACGAATTCAAACGAAAACACATGTTTTATCAAGGTGACGTTATTGTTGATAAACTTGTCGACTAGTTCATGTACACATGGAATCTGCAAGTCGCACAGCCAATAAAACCTGGACCTGATAGTCCAAGTTGTACGAGAAAGCAATCTACCGCAAGCATTGTATACCACGAAATACCGTATGAAATCTTTATTCTGTGATTAAACGGTAAGTAGTTCTTATGTTGATTCAATACAAATCCCAATCAAAGAAAACAACCTGTTGAATTACTCCACTTTTAGAAAACTTTGGTTGAATAACCAAGTGACATCTTTGAACTGAGTTTTTTCCTGACACAACTGTTGAATAATTTAGTATTAGTACTTACGGATTCATATCATACTTTTCACAGAACCCCTAACACACATACTTCATATTTTAAATAAACTCTACATGAATTAACGAACGTAATGTACTGAGGAAGCATTAATATAATTTCTTAAATAGTCTCACAAAGCAAAAGTCAATGAACTTTTAAAGGATTTTTGGGATATTTACAGTACAAACTTAGGCTTTGAATAACGAAAATTTTTATTTACATTGTATACAGTGTAATCGCAATGTGAACAAAGACCACTTTACTGTGTGGGATTAATTGATTCTGTTGCGGCAGACATACGTTCGGTAATAAATGGGTGTTGCAAAGCTTCATTTAAAGAAATACGACGAGTAGGATCCAACATTAAAGTTTTTTCCAGAAGATCGCGAAACTGTGTTACTTTGCGGAAGATTGGTTCACTCAGCTTTGATTGACCAATAAGGTCTGTCATTAGGTCTCTTGTCGGTTGTAAATTACGAATTACCGTCATTTTCTCCTAAAATGAAATAAGTAACATAGACAACTAATAATTAATACAAAAGCGTTTTCATTCCAGTTCAAGAAAATCTTGAACATTTTTTTCTATTAAGCAGCAGTTTGGCAAATAACTAAATTTTCAGCAAAGATGGATGGTGGAATCCAGGACGCCTGTTTCATCTTATTTGGGACTCGTCGACTGAATGTAGGTTTTCAGAACATTTTATGGAGACGAATAACCCCAAAGAGAATGTTAAGGTGATTCAGAGATCAGATAAACAAAATAAACATCGGTAAATTATCTAAAAACATACTTTACATACATTAGACTTTCACAACTACTGAATATTGTTTAAAAACCAGGAATGATATGAGGAACACTGAAATTATTGATATTAATTCATCTGAAGTCTTACAAGTATTCGATTTTTGGTAAAAATAAAAACAGGATATAAGAGTTGCGAACCACAACAAAATTTTTTAGCTACTAGGTTGGAGATCTAAATAAGCGTTGATAGCACATACATTAACTAACCTGGCGAAATTTGCAAGGTAATTTAGGTAGATCAAAATTCATTATTTGTGGGAACTAAGATCCGAAAGTTATCTCTCAGTGCATGAAATTATTGAGAAGAGTGGAGACAATCGTCGTATTAACTGCCTGATCTGATTAACTCCAAAGATTTTACCTGATAAGTGAGACAATTGGAAATATCAAATTATGAATTCACAACCATTTATCCTAGATGTTACATAGTTAGTAGAGTGATTTTTTTAATGTCTAATCTCATGTGCAATTCAGTGTTACGACATAGTAAAAATGGTGCAACACTATATTACCACAAATCATTAGCCGGCCAGAAACACAAGTAATCACATATATTTCAGGTAAATGCACCAAAATGATAACCTATATGTTAATCATTTATTGATAGAAACAATGCACATTTAGACAGCATGAATAACTCAAAATCTAATAGATCTACACAATTGGAAAGTAGTAGAACTTAGATATACTTGCATGGGAAGCGATAAAACCATTTAATCTAATAATAATAGTGGAAGGGGTTAAGAATAACATCAATACATGTATGAGATTAAAATAAGCGTTACCGCTTTTAAATTCACAAACATAGATCTTTGTATAAGTCAGCAAACCTTTTGTGTTACTTTGTCCACTTCATGATAGAGGAAATTGCACTGTTCATCAAAATGTTGTGCGCGAAACATTCCACGGCGGATCACGCGACCTGGTATACGTCCTTTGACTTCCATCATTAAACGCAACATTTCATTGTTAGTCTTTCCTGGAAACATAATTTGTCCAGTATGTAACTCAAATAGAGTTACGCTGCAAGACCACAAATCCACATTGTAGTCGTAAGGAACACCTAAAACTAAAACAAATTTCAAACACCAAGATTTTAATTGGAAATGATTTTGAATGATCCACGGTGACTCGGTTATTATGCAAACATGTCCATCAGGTTACATCTGTAGAATCAAAATGTAGCAAAAGTCTACCTCATATAGTTATTAAGTGAGATGAACAGGCGATTATACCTCGACGTTAATGTAAGCCATTAACCAGGTACGGACTCAGGTATCCGACTAATGGGCTACACCTTGTGGAAACTGGCGACGCTACCCGGTAAGAAAAATGTTGAAAGTTGAGTGCATCAATCACTAGATTGTTTCAAAGTCGTGTTAGCCGATTCCAAAAATATGGCTATCAAGTCATTATGTGTGAAATATTGGAGAAATCAAAAGGAACATTTTATTAAAAAGTATTTCAGATGAATTGGTGAAATGATTGTTATTATTGTACACAATAGAGTTGGATATTAACTTGTTGCTATACTACTTTATGAACATATCGGACAAAGAAACAAAGAAACAATTTTACATGGAACACTATTATCAGCCACAGACGCTCAATTAGTCAAGTGATGAGAACAGTAGTATAGCCGACCCCATATATTATTGAGTATTATTAAGAAATATACTCAAATTCTTTACAAATGTTTCCTTAAATTAAATGACAAACAAAAGTACTCTGTAATCATGATCAGTCGAAAGTAATAATTATTCGTATATTATGTAAGCCCCTGGCTGCTATAAACTTAAAGTATGAGATAAATATAACTAATCATTACATCTTCACGAAACAGTATCATGGTTATCTAACCGTATGTACTACTGAGGGAACTATGGGTACCAAATGAACCAATACTGAAAGCAAATAATTGACTGAGAAGCTGACGAGAACTAACCAGCATAAACATAGTAACCACGTACTATTACTTTACCTTCAAAAATACTTATTAGGGGCGTTTGGTGTGTACACTTATCATAAAGTTGTAACTAAATACAGACGTAATATATAACAGGTCGAGATCTTCTAAACTGCATACTCCTTAAAGATAGGATACAGGATACGGAATCTTCATGCTTGAATGAGAGCTTTTATTTACAAAACATTACCGTATTCGCTTCGGAAAACCCATCAAGTATTACGATGTTGATATCACAAGTCAGTAGCGATAAACCTAAGCTAATTAGCCCGCTAATTGTGACCATCAGAACCTTGTGCATAGGTGATGAAGGAAGGAGTCAAGCAGATTCAGGACAAAAATATATAAACCAGGAACCCTATCAGTTTGAACTAAATAAGAAAATAAAATGTTTTAAAAAACGTAAAATTCACTAAGGAGCGCATAAGAAAGATTACCCTCGCTAAAGGTAGCAAGAAGACAGCCCCACTAGTATCGTCACAATACTCCATATCTTGACCACGATTATTGAATAGCAAGTTCATGGTGGCGACTGATTTCCATTGGCTGATATCACGCCGAATACGCAAAAAATGCAGAAAGTAGAAAAATGTCAGTATTTAATTTAAAAAATCAGAGGTAGTATTAAAAAGCATGCTACAAAATACCATATAACAAGAAACTTACTTATTTCTGGAGCACGATAAAAACGTGAAACAAGATAAGGCGTGATATCATTATCCTGTATAGTAGATGCTGATCCGAAATCAGACAACTTAAGCAAGATTTTGTTTTCATTTACAAGTATGTTATCAGGCTTGATGTCCGCGTGCAAAATACCACACTTGCGCATCAGCTTCAAAGCCAACAGAAGCTGCTGAGTGTATGAGCGTATAGCGGCGATATGCAGCCCAATATTACGTCCGTACTTTTTCAGAACCTCGCGAAGATTTAAACTCATCAACTCGAATACCATGCATAGATGATTTTTATGGAAAAAGTGACGATAAAGTCGCAGACAATGAAAACGATCTTGTGGGTCAGCATCGTTGAGTTTTTTAAGGACTTCTAATTCCCTTAGACCTGATTTGTGCCTAAAAATAGGAGCAGATTTAAGCAAATAAAGTGAAACAACACGATTATCAGCGTACTGCCAAAGGACCTCAGCAACTACACTATATTACTAGTTATACAATAAATACTGGTATGATGAATTTAGATTACACTTATTGTATATTACATGAAAACCAGTAAGTAAAGTAAAAGTTCTAACTTACATTACATCGTTGTTTCTTATTATCTTGATTGCCACCTCTAAATTGCCCCGAGCACTGTCCCTCGCCCTAACAACGTTAGAAAACACTCCGTGACCAGTATATCCATAAACGGCATAACGCTTGTCCAAAACTTCACCAATGCGAACACCTGGACATTGAAATTTTTTGTATAATACTCATCAAAATACGTAAAATGTATATATGTTGTCACTTAGAAACACTTATTTCAATTATTAATGAACATAGCCCCGAATTTGGAGATTTTATCATGCTAAAGTTGTAAACATATCTATATTAAGATAAGGATTAGCCAATCATGATGCAGCTCCTATTAACATTCAGAAATGCAACTAAAATCTAACGTAAAGTTGTAAGGGATTTATGTGATATTGTTTTGAGTCCTAAAAAAGTCTACTGCTTTTCCACTTTGTATGAACAGAAACCAAGAAAATGAATAGCGAAAAAGCCATAAATTTAAAAACTTACGGTAATAACCTTCAGCATCGTCCCAATTGTCAGAGAGGGCATGATTTTCGGAGGCCATAGCCCCCAATGCCATTGTCCCCGGAGCATGATGCAGCTCGACTTCGAATTCTTCAGCAAACATATCAAATGTAGAGGGTTTGGAACTGTTATGTTCAGAGATATTTAGGTCATTTCTTCTTTTTTCTTGAAGTGCCATTGCGGCCGGAGCTTGAACACCGGATAGACGACCGCTTGGTGAGCTCGGTTGGTCTGGAAGGATAAAATGGAAAATCAAGTTAAGCGAAACAAACCAAACGTACTCTAAACAATGTGGCAGTCATATAAAATTACTAAGTAGTTTGTAGCCTACATACTTGAAATGGATGTGAGTTAATGAGGCTAATTTTAATACGGAAATTGACTGAAGTTGATATTAACACGTATTGTAATCTCCAAATCCAAATTTAAGATGATCGAATCTGTATCTAACTTAGTAAACACAATGACACTCATCCAATTATACTTTTAGCAAGAATGGAACACCATCGAAAGGCATACCATAGATATATAGGTAACCTCAATTCAGTTATACTTAATCTCTGCTAACTGCATACAGAAATTTTACGAACTGAACCCGTAAATAGTGCAAACGTGGCAACTAGTAATAATTTACTTTCAATGTAATGAATTTTTATTATCAAAGTTACCCACCTGAGGTACTAGTTGGAGCCATTTTTATGCATTCTAACTTAGCCTGGACAAACCTTTCAAAATCGAAGTCCTCAGTTTCATCAAACGTGACCATATCCGTCAAACTGTCTGCCTGAACAACTTGAGGATTGGGATCGCTGTCGAGTTTAGTGACTGGGGCTTCTCCTTGGTTTCCGACCTCTAACTTCTTGAATAAAAAATACACCAGAAAGTTAGATTTATTAAATACTAACTTCTAGCAACTTTTGTCTCTCAATACGTCTTCGTCTGATAATCTCTTCCTCATCTTCCTCGTTTTCAACTAGTACTAAGGATTTGTCTCTGTACAGAAATAAGAAAATTCTGTGAGTTACTCATTGCCTGAAATGGATTTATGATTATCTTCGGAATGTTTCCGAGTCTTGTGAGATTTTTTTTCATGATGAGATCGTTTAGATTCATGACGTGTATCACAGCTGGGACTGCGATGTTTAGACTTTTTGCGACGGCGAATGTAGTCTTCTTGTTGATCGTATGACTTGAAATATCTATTTCGGTAGTAATTATCATCGTATTTATCTACATATCCCGAGTGGTTGCTGGATTCTTGATAATAATAACTAGGACCATAGTGATATTCTGATACCTCACGATGGGAACGACGTTTCCGATGCCTATCTTCACGGTGATTTTTTACTGAAAGCATTGGTAATCTGAAGAGAAAAATTACTGGGTCGGTAATACTTGTTTATATAAATAAAAACCATAACAGTGAAATCTCTTACTACGAAGTATTTTGCTTATTTAACAAAACATTTCAGTCCAGCAAGTTTTTTTTAGATAAATTACATACGCACAGGACTTATCTTAAACGAATTGCTAACGTTCTTCCCCAGTATTTCTACGGAAATGGGAGCTGTAATAAGGCCCTCCATCTTTAAGAGACAAACCTTATTCCATAGATGGCTTAAATCCAACTTGTAGTCACAATATCCGATTATGGAAATAACACTAACCTTATTTGCTTATGCTCAAATCCGGTATGACTAGGCATCAAAAATGGGGTGTGCCATACGATCATAGTGTTGACATGAAGAAAGGAGCACATTCGGACAGAGAATTGGACGAAATAAGTTCGCGAGAACAGTAAGTACAATTAAGAACCAAGAGCCTTTCTTTGGTTTTAGTTGATACACTATATTTTATGCAAAAGGGAACTAACCCAAGATCCCCATTGGCTTTCATTGTTAAATGACATTTCAAGACACTGAGTTGCACCAACTCTGATTTCAGCTAGTAAGTAGTGAGGGACGAAAGAAGCCAATTTTATACTGCTTTCCTCGAAACCAAGAGGTCAACTCATCAACTGATCATTATTCCGCGCTTACCACTCCTTTCGGAAAATAACTCATGTTATGGTAGTTGATGTAATGACATTCGCAACACATGCACAAGCCACGGAAACTGAAGCATTAAGATAGTGACATTACCCCAAATTACTTTCAGTTCCCGTAAACAAACTACCGATACGAGGATTGACATGGTTTCGCCACTCAATGTCCCGAAATAGTCTGGTCAGGAGTGAGGGGAACGCAATTTTCTGGAAACCTCATATGCCTACCTGTTCATTGCCATTTCCCATTGAGTACCTCGGTGCGAGTGCTGTCCAAGCAAACGTCTAGTGCTTCAGCCGAGTTGGCTGATACAAACGATTTGCTCGGAGCTGAAAAACCTTGATTCCAAACCAATGGAGCACACGAACTTCAGGATCATATGAGATCGTATGATAGATTGCAGATAAGTTTTATCAAGCGAATCGTAGGCAAGCCTGATATAGAGACAACTGATTCTACATGAATTTTATTAAGGTGTGTGCTACTATTATGCCGTAACTGAGTTAATTCCAGCAATCCGATCGATACATATGTGAAAATGACCTAACCTGGCCGACTCCTCCATTGTTAAAACAAGCACAAATCCGTGACGAGTGACATGCAGTAAAACAAAGTATAACTAAACTCCTCTGAAGAACACCTGATTCAATGAAATTATTTTCTGCCCCTATGAATTTATTACTATGAGTAAGCTGAAATTGTGTGAAGAATTCATTGAGTGTATTCCTAAACACATTTGAAATTTTTATAACTGTACGATTTCGTTGCTTGCATGCATCGTAAGCTTTTGAGATTATGTTCCTTTTATTAAGTTTTCGGCTTGCTGATATGCTTGATTCGAATTAAAAATATAATTCTTAATCAAACAATATGCTTTAGAGATCTTAGTAACCGTTTGCTCAAAAGATACTCGCGGATCTAAGATTATCACGATTTAGTCATAGATGCGTCCCGCATACATTTAACAAGTGAGGAACTCATGAAAAAGACAAACACATAGAATTATAAACGACCGTTGGACACGTATCAACATCGTACTGTAACATCCAAAATACGCAAAACTGATCTCATAAAAAACGCCGTTGCCATTTTGTCTATTATACCACATTTCTAAGCATCAGCTCATATTCGCAATCCTAATCCTGTTCTCATTTTTATTTTCCGCATGTTGATCATCCATTCCCACCACACTACTACTGCGACTTATGTATTTATTTTCCGGTTATACCTCAAGAATCTTCTATTTCTGTCCTTGCTAATGCGTTAGATACTCATCTATACCTGTGTCCGCCTTTAAGGCGAGAAACTCTGCATTATTCTTCTCTAAACCTGGGGGCACTTTCCAGCCTTTAAAATCGCCAGTCAAGTAATAAACTTCAGTTAAGCACACTTCGCGCTACCGGATGATACGGTAGGACAGGTGAGCGATATCATACTGAAATCAGATACAGACTCTCCATCAGATATTATGAAGACGAAAGTCGTTGAAGCTAATTTTTATCTCACCATCAGGCAATCTGATCAGCCTTCAGCTAATGTAGAATTGTGTGAAAATTGAGAAGATAGATGGTGTTTTCGTAAATAACACGTTGAAAATTATCTACATTATCAGTCGTGGCTCAGGTAATTTCGCGAGAAATCCCTCTAACGCTAGCACATGATGATGAAAATGTTGATTTAGATAGACTTGCAAAAACAACAGAAGAACACAGACGGCATCAAGGCAAACTACCACCGCAAACGGCCAACTTGTTGGTTCGAAGTAGACAGTTGATATGCTTATCAAACATGTAGCTTAGTAACGTATCCATAAACATCATAGCGAATGTTTTGAAACAGATCTAGGAATAGGCCCAGACGACGCACTACCTTCAGTCATGTCAACATTTGCTGATGTTACGAAAAACTAGTTTAGGCAGCTAATATTATGTGAAAACAAATGTAAATAGAAGGCGTGATAGCGGATGATCGTTGATAGCTGCTCTCATCAGAGCTTCCAAGAAAATCGTTCTTTTTGTATCATATATACATGCCCGTGTGCGATTCTCTGCATGCAGATTTGATGAATCACTTCCTGGTTCGTTATAAACGACGGGTCATCAGGAAATGCTCCACATTGGATTACAAGTATCATCTGTTTTTGCACACCAAACGTTCCAACCTTACATGTTCTGTACTTACCAAGGTTTGATCTAGCAAGATGAGAGATTTAGGCGCAAGCGCCTAACATACGGGAATTTTCCGAAATTGCAGACAATTTACCACTTTCCACTTCATTCTGATAAGATTCCGAAAACTATAATTATTACTCAACTCGGATTACACGAATTTGTCCATATGCCTTTCAGCACTTCATTTTTCAGGTTGCGCGCAATTTATTTTGAACAAAAAATGGCTTAAGGGCTCGGTCAAGCTCTCCAAATGACCATGCTTAGGCTGGATGTTATACACTACGACAGTCCTGTTCACAACCGAAATATATCTTCCCACCTAACCATCCATCACTTAAAATTTGATTATTCTGCGACCATTCCAATAAAGGATATCGGTATGATCACACTCCAACGTGCCAAAATTCTACATAGTCCTACGTGGTCTGAAACATTAGAAGACAATCTATGAGTCCATGCGTCGCCTCAACTGTTTTCGTTTTAAAAAAGTGATCCATGGTGTCACTAAGAAATAATCAAAAGAACTCTGCATTTACATTATTTTTTTCGAAAAATATCATTCACCCAAGACATACAGTCAGGTTTAAAGTTAACGTACAAACGAAATTGCCTATAGAAAGCTGCAAATTATTCAAAAATTGAAGAGATATTAGGATAAAATCAAATGTGAGAAGCATAATAATCCGTTTGGCAAGTGTAAGAAGGGTGGAAAATAGATTAAAATGTGAAGGTGATAATAACTAACAACTAAAGTTAAAAGTAACAAGAAAGAAATCACTAAAGTCGTGTGAAACGATTGAACAATTGTTTATGAAAACTAAGTTCCAAGGCTCTAGAAGAGTGGTTGCAAGCGCGTGTCTGTTTCGCTCAGTCCATATTTAAAATGATGGATCTCTAGAGCCTCATCAGCGCACAAATTACCAATTTATGCTCATTTTGAACTAAGTCGTCTTAGTGTACAAATGATTTTAAAGGCCTGACAGGTTGATCCATATGGCCAGCTTTCACAGGAAGTCTACATAATTAACTGCTGGTAGATTCGAATTCACCTTCTGAAAGCGACGCGGTACGATGTCTGAAGATGCAATTGGAAAGCTCACTCTTTGTGTGGTCGACATATTTATTTCCTGTGACATCATGTCTTTGGATCCCCAAAGTTCTCATTCTGATCACAAAACTACTGCAATCACGCTCATGCTTAGTAAAATTAGGTCTCTAGCGTCATCGTTTTTACTTTAAGGCCTGAAGGTATCGAAGGTTAATTTGTAAAAACTTGGGTTGATTGGTTAAACGTTGACCAGAAACATCTTAATAATGTAAAAACTTTATAGCTCAAGCATTTATTAAGTTCCTAATTCTGTATAGGCATTATATTTTCTATTATTATAAAATAAATTTTGAGAAATTTTGTGTGTTTGAAAAAGATAACATCACGCTAAAAATGTTTTGTTATACGATCCAAATAAAGACATGTTCATTACTAGCGTGGTTTGTTCTATCGATGAACGAGGGGTACCGCCTGCACGAAAGTATCCGGTGTGAAGAGAAAGAATTCACAAAAGAGACGTGATGTTCTCATCCTCGCAGTTCACTGCAAGTATCCAAGCATCGACGACTAAATAGATTTAAGCTCAGTCCATTTGTACTGAGAACCCTATTATTACCATTTTTACCCGAATATTGAGGATGTGTTTTAAAGTATTGATTTGTGTATTCATATGCTGACGAATTGTAGATCACAAGCGTGGATGATCTATGTCGAAATGATTGGAGGCTTACTCGAGTTAGACGTGAGTGGTGTGACAAACTAGCTAACGTCGAAGTCACACTTCGCGGTCTGCACCTTACATAGATTACCCCATTGACGTATCAAGGTACTACAGATGCTTTGAAGACTGTACAACACAAAGGACGTTATTACAGAAATATATTAGTTAAAGTAGATACAAGCGAAGGTAAGACCACTGCCGCATGGGCCAGTCCATGGCGTACGATTAACTGATGCGCGTTGGTTGTCCTTGACATTGACGAGGATTGATGATTTTGTTCGATATTCAATGGCTAGGGCTCAGTGGAATTTCACTGGCCCTACAATACTCCCCCACCAGATTCAACGGCCGTTTGAATCGGTACCAAACATGTCGGTAGTCACGCGTCGGAGATTGCCAAACGATTAATATGAATCCTCAGGGTATTGCCGAGCAGCAAAACAAATGGAAACGAGGCGGCAGAAACTGATCGAGAAACAGCAAGTAATAATATGTTAGTAGAACGTTGGTTGAACGTAAAGCCATTAACCATAGAAATAATAAAAAGAACTTAACGTCGCGCTGAAGTATATAGCTTTGACAAGTAATTGAGTTTCTCAGATGAGAAACATTAACTTTGCCGCAAGAGCAATGATGCTATAGCGATAGTAGGATAAGTGTATTATCAATCGATACGGATGTTTTACTGCCATTGATTTAAAGATGAATGTCAGACAGCGTCGTTGACAACTTCTAGCTATATCTATATTTAACAGACTAACTGTAAGTACAGAAGTATAGTCGTGAAGAGTAATCGTGATTTCGTCATGTGAGGCTATTAATCCACTTGTAGTCAGTTTTGAAAGTCGGTGACTGCTGTTACAGTCAGTAAGGGTCGAAGGCTACAAATCCAGAGCGAAGACGGCACTGTGAAGTCTCCAAAAGATGATAAACGATGCTTGCTAATTGTTTGTTCGATTAGTGAGTAGAAAAATATCGAAAAGACCATAAGAAACCATGAGTGTTACTCTGGACTCATGTCAATGATACCAGTGAAAAACGCTGTCAGTGTTGGGATAGAGGCGACAATGTCGTTTTCAGTGTGCAGGAGATTCGCTCGACTGCACAAACTGATGATTTGCGCGGATGAT